ATAGATTAGTAATTACGTGATACAATGCGGGCGCGCGCGTGTGTGTGTGTGGATTTATATTCAAATGAGCAACACGCGACACGAACAAAATATTGGCAAGGATTAGCAAAAATGTGTTTCAAATAAATTAGCACTTAGTGAGGCGTTGATGCGCTTTTGTAATTCCTGCAACTGCCTCCATAAGTAAAAACTATATATATCAACAAACACGTCGCGCAGTCAACTTTAAAGTTTACACATTGTGTGATGGAATCCATAAAGTCTCTCTCTGTGTGTGTATGAGTACCTAGTGCGGTGTGTAAACATCGCCACTGGGGAAGACAAAGACGGCTGGGCGTGGTGCTGCTCGCTAACAGCGTTTGCCCCAGCAGTCTATTAGGGGCTAGTCGGGGAGACGTTTCTCTCCGTCTTCGCGTGATTTACGGGTTCACGGCGTTTGCCGTCGCGGCCTTAACAGGTGCTCGCCAACAACGCTTGAAAAAAAATAAACAAGCCAAGGATCGCCTTGCTACGGAAACTTGCAGGTACGAGAGCTGGGCGACTCACCTCTCTACCGATCCACTGCAGAGCACATGGGTGCTGCGTTGTGCTTCCAGCACGATCCGTCAGCCTCGTAACACAAAACTGCCATAGGCAACAAATCCCACTGGCGCCTCCCCTCGTTCTGGCGAATATTCTGCCGATAAATATCCGCAGAGACGTGCCAACCACACGGGTTTTTCTTGCCAACGACGACAACCTACGCATCAATCGAGACCTCGATAATGTAACTCGATGTCCCGACACCACCGCCGCTGGGATTGCACCGCCACCATCATCGAATCTCACCCAGAATTCGCGAGAACGCAGGCGAACAGAGTAACCTCCTCGCGCGAGATCCAAACATCGCACACCTGGTTCTGGGATTCCTGGAGCTGCGCACATCTCCCTCGTAAATGGGAAATGAAAGACAGCGAGCCACGGCATTCTTTAGTATAGCCACGTTACCCAAACTACGGACCGCATCGGAAACCCCTGTTGACTGCTGCGCTCTATCAACGGAGGGGGAATAGCGAAACTGCACCAACTCTCTCTCTCACCTGAAGCTCTCGCGGGGCTCGCAAACCTCGACATTGGCGTCTCGCTCCTGAACATATCGCCACGCGCAGGAGTTAGAACTTGCCCCGGACAGTCTGTGTGTAGCCTCCATGGAGGATCTTTGTCTTTTTAAATCCTTTATATTAAGTTCGCTTGCTTGCTTGCGCGCTTACGACCGTGCTAATCTTTCGGTCGTTTTTTATTTAAATCCTTTATATTAAGTTCGCTTGCTTGCTTGCTTGCGCGCTTACGACCGTGCAAACCTTTCGGTCGTTTTTTAACCCACTTCCCGTGATCCAATCGAGCTGACATTTTCCACACAGACTCGTTGTGCGTGACAATACATTTTCGTGACATTTTTTTCCCAAAATGTTACACTTTTTAGGAAAAATATAAATTATATTTAATTACCAATTGCTTAATGGGGGCAGGCAATCATCTGACCCATAGGTGGCAGCCATCTCAAGCCAGAGGACGAGACGACTCTAGCCGCCACGCATATAAAGGATTTATAGTGAAAAACTTTGTTTTTACGGGTCAATTTTTTATGAGTGCAGCAGTTTGCGTCGTTGCTTAAGAGGTTTCAGCCGACTGCATCGCGAAACCGGCGAGCCGAGTTCGACTCCCTCTCACGGGTAACGGACGTTGGTGTATATCTGAACATGTTCTGGGCCTTCCCTAGGTCTACTCAGCCTTAAACGAGTACCTGCTGGTGTCCACGAACATTAGCGTTGGCGGGACGAAGTCGGTCTGACGTGGTCATTGGCCACATCACTCCCTCGTGTGTCTTTCCGACCTTCATAGGTGATCAATACCAGTCTCGTCCCTAAATAGTTTAGACAGCGTCCATTATATAGGACGCTGTCTTTCCGACAGCTGTTTCTTCACCTGAGGACGGCCGCTTGCGTTGTGGCCGAAACTTCGTGAGATTTGTAGTTAATTGTGTTTTATTTTTATTATTTCCCTTCTACGTGACTTTACCGAAAGAATCAAGAATATGAATCCCTGCAGTCACGAACGCTTTAAATCGAAATTCAGTATAGGGATGTTTGTTAGCGTCGTCTTTTTACGCATATCGATAAGGTTTTTGGAAAAAAATCGACGCATTCGTGTATGCGTCATAGACGTGATGTGAGAGAGTTTAAGGCGTGCATGTGTGGTGCCAATGGCTTGATGGAACGTGTGAGTGTGCATACGCGGCATGGGATAACGACAGCTGTCGGCGTACGTTCACATCGTGGAGTATTGTTGAGTCAAAATAACAACAGTCGTGGCTCCCAGAGAGCCCCGTTCACACGCCGCGGTGGTGAGATGTTCGCTATCTCGCCTGGAATAAAGGAGGTCGTGGGTTTCGATCCCGACCCTGACGCCTGCTGTGTATTTGGATTTTGCATGTTCTCTCTCTCTCTCTCCCCCTGGCCACGTGGATTTTTCTCCGGGCCCAACGGGTTTTCCCTCCACATTTAGAAACTTGCCTTTAGAGTATTTGGCCGCAATATATTTCCAAGTGATAAGCCACTTCGTTGAGCTATCATTGTGGTCAGGTAGCGCCTGAAAAATAGCTATATAGCTCAGTGGGTCTTACCGGGAAAATAAAATTAGTTTTAGTTTTCTAAGATTTCAGGACAATACGTGCGCATATCTCTTAGAGGCTCTCGTGATGATGAAGAGACCCTTCCCACGTTCCACCGCTCAGACCGCGGTGAGGCGCGTTCCAAAAATGATCACCCATTACCCAACTCCATCCCCACTTTCCTGTATATATGACTGCATATTTTTCACAAATATTATTATTATAAAAATAAGGAACAGCTGTGATCATTCCACCGCTGGATGAAGACCTCCCCAAGGCGTCGCCATCTCTCGTCGCGGTCATGTGAGGCAAAACAAAATACCGATAGCGACACCTGCACACGATCTGATTTCTCCGCTCCATCTCCACGGCGGGCACCTTCCTCCATCTCAGCGTTCCTTTACCCTTGGCTGCCAGTCCGTTGTAGCTCTCGACCACCGGGCATCATGCCTTCTAGCGACGCGTCCTGCCCACGTGTCTGTGTATGTATACGTGTATGTTGAACTTCTCTCGCAGGTACGGAGCCAACCGTGCTAATCGGAGTACACCGGACGGTCAAGTAACCTGTCATTATTTGTAATGGCCCCTTTAATCCACTTCTTTTTAAATCCTTTATATTAAGTTCACTTGCTTGCTTGCTTGCGCGCTTACGACCGTGCAAATCTTTCGGTCGTTTTTTTACGCACTTCCCGTGATCCAATGGAGCTGCCATTTTGCACACAGACTCGTTGTGCGTGACAATTTATTTTCGTGAAATTTTTCCCCCAAAATTTTACACTTTTTAGGAAAAAAAATTATATGTAATTACCAATTGCTTAATGGTGGCAGGCAATCATCTGACCCACAGGTGGCAGCCATCTCAAGCCAGAGGACGAGAGGACTCTAGCCGCCACGCATATAAAGGATTTATAGTGAAAAACTTTGTTTTTACGGGTTAATTTTTTTACGTTGAATGAAGCGGCCACTTGATAACCGGACACGCGAGCTTTTGTTGGCACGAGTCTGGAAGGCCAAGACGCCGATACGACCAAAGCGTACTTCGTGTTTACATGGGCGTAAGGAACGGAAAGTGAATTTACGAAATGTCTTCTTGGTTCTTTCGGTTAAGTCACGTCTAAAGATAAAATAATAAATTAAAATAAAAGCATATTAATAAAATAATTCTCACGACGTTTCGGCCACAACGCAAACAGCCGTCCTCAGGTGAAGACCAGGTCTGTCGGGGAGACAGCGTTTCATTTTTTATTATTTTATTATTTCCCTTCTACGTGACTTTACGAAATGTGTTCTTCTATCCGTGTGTATAACAGACCCTAGTGGGGCAGACCAGACGATGTACTTGCTGTTGTGCAATGGAAAGTGTATAGGGCGCCACGGTGGCGAGATGTTAACTACCTCGCCTGGTATACAGGAGGTCGTGGGTTCGATCCCGACCCTAACGCCCCTTGTATATTTGGAAGTTTGCGTGTCTTTCTCCTCGTGGTCGCGTGGATTTTTCTCTGGGTCCCTCCGGGTTTCCCCTCCACGTTTAGCGTTCAACATCACGCGTTCAGAGTATTTGGCTGCAATAAACTTCGCACGCGATAAGCCACTTCGCACGCGATACTGTGTGGCCAGATCGTTGCTGAAAAACATAGCTGTTATAGCTCAATGGCCTTTACCTGGTAAAATAAGAGTTTAGCTGATGCATTGCTATGGTGTAAGTAATGATGCTCAGGGTGCTTCAACATGTGTTTAACACTTTAGAGAATTTGCAACAACGCCGCCAGAAATGTGCCTCCTGGCACGGGAGACCACTTGGAGAAGATTCCAGGCACGTGTTGATAATGATGGCGAACAAGTGGAGACTCTTTTGAAGCTATCAACATACATTTGTTGCCATGTCACAGTGCACGATCCGTTATTTTTCCATTTAAAAACGATAGTCTCATATAATAGTACATTTTTTTGAAGCGCCCGGTTTTTCATAGAGGAAGTACCCGTCGCAGAACGATGGCCCTGCATCCACCCCGACATCACAACCTCCACACGCCCATTCGATCAACCCCCCTCCCTCACCACCACAGCCCCCCAAAACGTTCCTACCAACGCGCCCCTCTCTCCTCCCCACCTCAATTTTCCGGAGCTCTGCACTGGACAGCTCCGGCTGAAATTAAAGCTCTGCGTCTACCCACTACCACCACCACCACCATCATCGTCGTTACCGTCAGAACAATCAGCCACGAGCGAACACGCGTTGATCAAGTAACTTTTATTACGTTAAAGGAAAACGGCGAAATGGCTCCATTGTTTATTTGTGTGAATGTTGGTCGTCGGCACGTCCGAACACCCCCTTGTTTGTTTAGCTTACGGGGTAGCGGGACCACGTGGCTGGGAGAGATTTAATTCATGGTTTCGCTTCTCGTGGTGTTGCAACCGCTCCGGGACAGCCTCAAGTGGCATCAGTACCACGTCGGCGAACGATACACGAACAGAAACGCCGGGAACGTACGCGCCAGACGTATGGATTTCACGCAAAAGCGTGATCCACGGTATTTATTCAAATGTGTCTTTCCTGCTGCAGGGGCACGCGGCGTCAAACGGTGTCCCACCCTCCACCGAAGCGATCGCTCGCGCAATGAGTCGCTCTCATAATCGCGCACATTAAAGTCATCGCCTGCGACCGCCCCGTACGCGCGTGAGAGAGTCGTTGCGAAATTTAACAGCGTATTCGCGATTACGCGAAATGCGTACGTGGTGAAATACGTCACTACAAAGCGCTCAGCAGATCTACTTAACGTGTGGAGTCCGTCTCTCTACCGCGAGCAAACTGTGACCCAACTGCTCCCCAAACTGGTTGCAGACGTCCAGGGTACGTGGACGTGCAACCAAGTCGCGTGACCGTTCGCTCAGGTGTGGGGCCCGCCTTGAAATGTTGACACATAGAGATCCCCTGAACAGACTGCAGGGGCAAGTGCTGTCGGCTCGGCACACGAGGGGGTGGGGTGGCCAGCAACCACGCCCGGCCGCCTTTGTCTCCCTCGTGGCGATGTTGACACACCGCACCAGACACTCATTGTTGAGTTGACCTAGGGGTGGCCCAGGACCAAGTCAGATAATCGTCACTGGGTGTTGGTGCTCGTGAGCGGGACTCAAACTCGGGTCGCCGGGTTCGTAGCGCAGCGCGCCTACCACTGCACCACCGCTGCCCACATGTTGACACAATGACAAAGATCCCCCGTATAACCTTGACAGCTTGCTGGGGCAAGTGATGTTAGCGAGCTTCTATGACCCACACACAAAAGGTCCACCGTATAGCCTAAACAGCCTGTTGGGGCAAGTGCTATAAGCGAGAACCTATGAAGGCCAGAACAGTACACAAGGGGGTGGGTGGCCAGCACCACGCCCGACCGCCTTTGTCTCCCCAGTGGCGATATTCACACACCGCACCAGGTACTCATTTGAGGCTGAGTCGACCTAGGGGAGGCCCAGGACCGGTTCAGACAATCGTCATTGGTGTTGGCCGTGAGCGGGAATCGAACTCGAGTCGCCAGGTTTGTAGCGCAGCCCACGAACCGCTACACTACACACACACACGCGCGCGTGGCGATTAGTGCAAAGTGCACTAATCGTTGCCGGGCCACTTGAATAGTGTCTGGTGGCGTATAATGGTTATCAATGGGCCTCTGGTGTACGGAATGAGATGAGGAGCCCGTGCCCAATGGTATCCTCTATTGAGAATCAGAGCGCCAAGGCCTCTCCCGTCCGCGGATCCTGGTGCAGTTACCCCTCCTGAATCCTGGATAGCGACGCGCAATGACAGTGCCAACTGTTTACCCATGACAAGCCACATCGAGTCTCAAGACTCTTTGTCCAAGAGCGTCCTGCATCGGGATGTTGGGTCAGCGAGGCTTTCCTGGGTAAAGAATTGGCACAGCCGTCAGGCAGCACATCAGTAGATACGTTTGGGTATTTTAAGTGGTATATATATTCCAGATTTGATGCTTTCGTGACTGCAAGGATTCATACTCTTAGTTTTATTTTCGGTAAAGTTACGTGACTTTACCGAAAAAAACCCTAAGAGTATGGTATATATATATATATATATCCACCCAAAATAATAACTGCCGATTATTTAAACAGTACAACGTCAGTGAGTCTCAATGCTATTTTTCAGGAGGGTCCTGCATTGTGCTGTTTGGCCATTACCAATCATTGCCATCTCTTGGTCATCTCAGCCGGACCGCGCCTACGACACCTGGCAAGCCGCGATGATCGGCCGTTAAATCAATAAGCCAGGCTCATGCCTGACACCGGGTGCATTCATGGCGATTTGGTCGTAAGCCAAGTAAAACGTGATCCATCAAATCTTCATTAAAATATCGGCCGCAAATATCTGCACTACAATGTAGAACAACTTTTCGGGCTATTCGACCGAAAATTTCAGGTACAGTATACTCCCTCAAACACTTTAGTCAATTCAAGGACAACTAAAATATCAGCGAAACATCCTGAAATTCCAGGCCTGAAAAAACGTGGGATTATTACCTGAAACGTTTATGTTTTTCAGGTCAGGAACTTTACCACCCACCCCAGTGTTGCTGATTCCCCTGGGGTTGTAGTTTGTCCTCGAATCAACTCATAGTGTGTGGGTGTACACCACTGGGGTGGGCAAACTTTCCTGACCTTCTGAGCCGCTTACCAACATCTCCATATGGCCGTGACCCACAGGACACGCACGGTGGTCATTCGGCTGGATCGCTCGGGCTGGTTGGCCGGAGTTATGAATGTTTTAAAATGTGCGGGAGTGCCTTGGGGACATTCATGTCTGGCTCTGCCGCCAGATGTAAGTGTGCCAGACCGCTCACTGCTTCCACAGATTGTTTTTCTCCAGTTTCAAATAAAGTGAAATTGAAAAGTAATTTAAAATTTTTTTAGCCGTGTCTGCCCAACCGCACTTAGGCTTCCCTGGGAGCCTCTTGCGGTTTTGCCACACCTGATGTAGATCGCATTTGCATAAAGTTGGACAAAGCCGTTGACACCTGTGCACTGCGTATTTTTGGTTTTGTAAAAGGTAAATATGCAGTCCTGCAATTTCTTGCTGATGGTGGAAGGGTTTTCACTAGAGGGAGCTTTAGCGAGCCCTTCTAGAGGTCCGTTGGCCTACTCTTCCACACCGGGCAGACGTCTTGGAAGAGATGGGAGGAACCCACACTTGAATTTGCAGTCAGGTGATATTAAGTTCATATTTCATAGCAGCAGAGGCAAAAGCTAACTCAACACTGATATTGTTGTCACGAACACCACTTGAGTGATCTCCCTTCCTTACAATTTATTACAAGGAGGTATTTTGCAGATATTTGGCATTGTGAGGTTTCGACCAAGATACTCTAATAATAAAAACTGAACCATCAACGGATGTCAAATTCTCATTAAAGTTTCCAAATACACAATTCTAGCACATTCAGTAGGTGACTTTAAATAAACATCACATTTTTTTTCAATACACGATCAAGTATTATCACCCGTACTAAATTGCATTATACACACAAAATCCAGTTTGTCCAGCAAATATAAAATAGCAATAATAAATACTTAAACATACCAAAGTGTCAATGAGAATATTTTAACTCGTCTTTGCAGAATGTCCACTTAGCTGCCTGCTATAAGTAACGCCACTTAAATAAAAAAAAGTAAACAACGGATAGTCAAATGTAAAGACATTGAACTTAAATTACACTTGCCCCATATCTGTGTAATGTGCAGTGATGAGCACGGGTTGTGTGTTTGTACATGTGTTTCGAGTACGTGTGCGAGAACAGTTACTTTTTAGACATACTTTTTACCTGTGCAACTGCAAGCCAGCAAAAATTCATTTGGGCATCATCACATGCAAATTGACGAAAGTAAAACCATTGCCCGTCAACTGCTCGAGTCTGTAATTGTCATCCTCTGCATCTGTCCAGACTTGCCATATCTTCAACACCAACACGCAACGATCACGCTTGAAGTAATTTTTTCATCCCGCAAAAACTACTCTCAAAAGAACGCTACCGTCATTAAGTTAAAAGCTGAGGTTTTCTTTTTTTTGCTTTAAAGGACGCATCGTGATATTTTATAAATCAGGGCAACTGGCAACTTAACACGAGCTTCCGCTTGCAAAAAAAAATTGTGCAAAATTTAAATTGAACTTCTTCCTACAAACTCGAACCGGAGCTCATCTCTCGAATCAGCGCGTCACTTATTGAGATTGGGGGGGGGGGGGGGGGAGAGGGATAATACGACACCCATCCCCGTCCAGTCGCGGTGTCGCGATTGAAAAATAAAACGACCCCGTTAATCCGCTCCCGTGTGTAGCACTTTACATAATCTGTGACGCGGCATGCTCCGAATTTCATTTCACAGTCTGCCACTTCGCACGTGAGAGATGGAGGGGGGAGGGGGGGGGACCAGGGCAGATTTCAAGAATTGTTTTCCAAAAACCACTCTGCTTCCCAATCCCAAAACACCCCGTCATCATCATACCTAAAATATTTGGCAATGTACAAATAGTCTGTTGGGACGCGTTCGCCTCTGTACATTTGGTCGCTCGTCGCACACACTCGATCTAATACATGATTAGATGGTTTTGATTCTCACTTTATTACTTATTTATTCATTCATTTTGAAATTCAGATTTAAAGGAGACCCTATTTGGCACTATGTACACTTGTCTCGACGACGTACGTGCCTTCTGAATTTAATTGACGTCTGGCCACACAGTTACAAAAGCGACCCACGGGGACGGACCCCTCGGCAGTCCCTCCAGCGAACGGCAGGAGGTGTCGCTTGCCAACTTTAGCAATCCGATGTAGAAGTCCCCGACAACGGCTCCTGACGCGACCGCGGTACGCCCCATCAGTCAGCATACCCACGCGGCAAAACCGGCTGTCCACTTGCATAAGCATCGCGTCGCGAGCAGCCAGTCACTCTCTCGGCAAATTTCCTTTGGTCAAAGTCTATACAGCATCTCAGAGGTTTTCATTACAGTACAGGATTCCGCTCTGCTATGTCTTGGGAAGGGGGGTTGCCTTCTTGTTTTGTTGTGGCTGTCCGTTCACATTTGTGCTCCTCGCGTAGCCGTGCGTCTCGTGATCGCACGCGTTGCGTGTGCCTGTGCGTGCGTGCGTCTGCGTGTGATCACAAAGGACCTTCACCCGTATAACCTTAACAAACCGCTCGGGCATATGGCGTAAAAGGTTAAACACGCTGCGTTATATTAACCCGGCGGCCCCAGTTCGATTACAGGCCAAGACTGACATCCTAAGTGGCGAGTGATGGACATGTGAACCGGTCGTGGGCCTTCCCCATTGGATCACCCCTTGTTAAAATCTGTAAATACTACGGTGTGTAAACATCATCACTGGAGAGACAAAGGCGGCCCGGCGTGGTGCTGGCAACATCACCGCCCACCTCGTGTGCCCACGGTGACGTCAACGGGTGCAGCACTGGCTCCAACAATCCGTTTGAGGCTACAAAGGGGGGGATCTTTGTCTCTTCGGCGATCGCACAATGGTCGCACGTGCTTTGCGTGTGTTTGCCTACGCGTCACGATCACAAAAAGTGCACCTATCCTGGGCACAAGCGCCGTGGGGGACGTCAGCCTTCTTCCGCAACGTCGACCGCAGAACGAGTCGCGCGCGCGTTTCGCGTTCGCGTCGCGCACGGAACGCGCTACGCTACGCTACGCGCTCCCCGTGCCAACATCGACGTGCGGCGACGGCGGCGGCGGCTACCAAATCTGGCGTCACCAAACAGTCGCCTCGCCCATCTCGTGTCCCATGTGCTCGTAGCCCCCTGCCCTGTGCAGCCCAAAGGGTGGCTCGGCCCCCGAGGGAAAGCCGTTCCCGGGCGGCATCCCGTGCAGGTGCACGGGCAGGGCCGCGTTGGGGCTCGTGGGGCAGTCCCGCCCGGCGCCCGGCGGAGAGATGAGGTCCGAGTAGCGGTCGCCGTGATGCTGCTGCAGCAGCGAGGGGTGCGCAGCCTCCAGGGCCCCGAGGGCGGCAGCGGCCGCGGCGGCGCCGACGCCCGGCGGGCCGGGCAGCAGGAAGCCCATGTCGGGCGGAGTCTGCGCCTGGGAGTGCGGGGGGTAGAACTCGAAGCCTCCCACGCCGCCGCCGCCGGGCGTGGGTCCGTAAAATTCCGGGGGGTAGTCTGGCAAGGAGAGGAGAGGGAAAGAGTGGTGGTGGGGGTGGTGGGGGTTAAAGGGTATGTAGCGGTTAACGAGAGGGGTGCGAGGTTTTGTTTGGGGATTTAGTGACAGTCCCATTGAGTCTTCTTGGTTCTTTCGGTAAAGTCAGGTAGAAGGGAAGTAATAAAATAATAAAAATAAAACATAATAAAATAATTCTCACGACGTTTCGGCCACAACGCAAGCAGCTGTCCTCAGGTGAAGTATAGGTCTGTCGGGGAGACAGCGTCTGAATGAAACACCACCACGCTTGGAGCGTATATTTAATATAGTCCTATTGAGCTGAATGTGCGCGGTGGGGTTAAAGTCCAACTTCAGAATGTGCATTTATAGACACTGGATGAATCTGATGAGCTAATCAAGCTCTTTTTTTTCACAGGCGTCCCGTGGTCACAGACGTCTGGCCAAACTTGGAAGTGTAGGTCAAATGTCCACGAGAGTGATGGCCATTTCTAGAGCCCCTCTCACGGCGTGGGCGAGAAATTTTGAGCACTGAGCAACCTGGGATTTTGGTTGTTGTTGTTGTTAAAAGGATAGAACTAAAGGACAAAGATCCCAGTGCAGCCTACAGAGATGCATGTGAATAGCTTCAAAAAGTCAGAGAGGCTCCACTTGTTCGCCATCGTTGTCAACGCGTGCCTGGAATCTTCTCCAGGTGGTCTGCAGAGCCCAGAGGCACGTTTCTTGTGACATTGTTGCAAATTCTTCAAAGTGTTCACCCTTTTTTAAGCACCCTGCACTGACCAGCGCGGTGAATTATGGCAAATAAAAAAAAATCCAAATGACTGACAGTCTGAGACGGCCGCCACCCAGAAGTGGATTGGCAAAGGGTTGTAAATGGTGTAAATTAGTCAATTATTGTTCTCAGATTATTTCGCAGTTGAGAGGTGCATTCCAACCGCTGGTTACGCGTTATGACCCGAGCGGTCACGTGATGGACACGTTTCAAATATCTTCATAATTGATTTCCGCTCCGCTAAACGTATCACTTCTCCCTCGCAACCAACCCCCCATACTCAATATATAAGCCCCATAATTCCCATTTGGGAAAATGCGAAAGAGAGGTCACCGTGTGGTCAAGCCTACTTGGTGGCGAAATTTTATTTTATTTCTCTGAACGTAAAAAAAAACAGCCTGCTGCAAATCGCGGGAATTTGAAGCGTGCGAAATGCAATGGAATTTGGGTCCCGTCTAATGGACCCCCTCCTCCTCCCTCCTCCTCTCTCCAGCATCTTTCCAAGTGTCACGCTGCATATAGTAGGGGGGCTACTGGTACCCCGGGTCAGGTTGAGCGCGCCCCTAAGAGCTGACGGTCTGGGTCCGGTCCCCAATGACTCACGCAGAGACTCCAAACATACACGTGGAGAGAAAGAGAGGCACAGACTCGCATAGACCCAGCAGTGTTGCTATTCACTTAACATCGTTAATCTTCCTTCAAAAAAATATCCTGAAGCAGAAGGTTAGCGCTGGATACTGCCACATTGGATTTGTAACTTTGACCCTTACCTGTGTATCGATAGTTTAACTTTAATGTGCTATTTTATTGAGGTACTGTGTGTTGTCTTGGTGTGGTCTGGGACTGTTTTGCTGTTGTTTTGCTGCCTTGCTCAAGCTTGGAATTGTACTGTACTTCTGCAATTTGAACTAATATACTGTATTAATTATTCTTTACTCTTTAGTTCTTTCGGTAAAGTCACGTAGGTATAAAATAAAATAATACAAAATAAATTAAATCACGACGTTTCGGAAGCAACACATGCTTCCGTCATCAGGTGGGACAACCACAGCAAGAAACAAATGACTAAATTATTGCTGTGGTTGTCCCACCTGATGACAGAAGCTTGTGTTGCTTCAGAAACGTCGTGATTTAATTTATTTTTTGTTATTTTTATTTTATTTTATACCTACGTGACTTTACCGAAAGAACTAAAAAGTATGGAACATTGCAGTCACGAAAACTTAAGATCTAAAAAGATTTCTTTGTTTATTTTTAGTGATTTTGCTTACCTTAACTATACTTTGCACTACCGTTTTTTGTGTATTGTTCATCGTTGTAACTTTCTGACCCACCCCCTATTGGACATCCGTGAAAAACGAGCTTTATAGTTCATCGGATTCCTCTCAGGATGAATACATATTCTGATTCAGAGAAGACACACACACACTCACGCAAACACCACACACACACACACACGCGCAAAGGAATTTATATTCCTGATTGTATCCGAACTCCTTAAAAGGCCCGGAGTGAGAAACGCACTCGGCAAAAGATTGACACTCAACGTAGCGCCACTGATCTACCAAAACCTTGTCAAATCGAGTAAGATTTGCAACGGACGATAATGTTTAATGAGCCACCGCAGCTGTACACGCCGCTTTCATTTTAATTGGATTTTGCCACTTTACTAATCAGTTTGACAAGGTTTCGGTCTGACTTCCAGTCCGACTTTAAAATAGCCTTATCAGCGGGGCGACGCGTAAACACGAGGCGACAAGGAGCGCCGATTCCTCGTGCTTTGATGCAGCAAGGGTTCGGGGGGGGGGGGGAGCAAGTACACAACACACATAAAACAATTTACACAGGAAATACACGACACAATTTCGCGCCGTGGGCTCTCTGTCCCTGGCGACAGCACGGGAGCACGTGGCTTATGGCCGCGGTGGCGAGATGTTAACTCCATCGCCTGGTATGCAGGAAGTCATGGGTTTGATACCGACCCTGACACCTGTTGCATTTTTTGGAGTTTGCGTGTCTCTCTCTCTCTCTCTCCCTGTGGTCACGTGGGGTTTTCTCCGGGTCGTCCGGATTTTCCCCTCCACATTTGGAAGCACGCTTTTAGAGTGTTTGGCTGCTATAAATTTCCACCTGATAAGCCACTTTGTTGAGCTGTCATTTTGTGTACAGGTCGCTTCCTGTAAAAGAGCTGCATAGCTCGTGATAAAATAAAGTTTAGTTTAGTTGAAATTGCGCGTTGACCAAATGGCCCGCAATTTGCCAAACCTCGGAAGCTGAGTGGGGTTTCGAGTTCCCTGGGATACACACGGGGTGGCCCAAAAATTAGGACACATTTAATTTGTTTTAACACTGGCAATGAAACAATTTGAATGTATATTCTTTAAGTTAATATCTTCTCTATTATCTTTAGTAACGTCTAGTTTTTCTTCTCCCTTTGCAGATTAAATAACAAAACTTTCAAGGAAAAATTACTCAAAATGAACGAGTTCAATTAGTTTTTTTATGTAAGCTGAAGAGGGCTGCTGTAATCTTAAAACAAAGTCCTACTAAATTAATTTAAAAAGATAATTCACGGTGTGCATTATTGTTAATGTAAGTCATTTTGAACATTTGTTACAATAAATTAAATATCCCTATGCGATTTGTTAAAAAGAAATTTCATAATCCAATGTGTCCTGACTTTTGGGCCACTCTGTATCGTGCTGCGATGGGCTGAGTGCCACCGTGCACGATAGACAGGAGCGTTGAGTGCCACCGTGTGGTAAAATTTCCCTGACGGCTCACAAAAGCGTCTGAGAGGCTCTCATCCAGCAGTGGATTGACAATACGGGCCGCACTTGCAGCTAATGCGTCGTCGACACGCGGATTCTGTCCACGTGCATATATGCATGTTGAACCTCTTTTGCACCGTACGTAGCCAACCGTGCTAATCAGATTGTGCAGGGAAAGAACAACAAGCTAAACATAAAGGGCAGTTCCTAAGAAATTAGTTTGCCAATCGAGATGATTTAAAAGTGCATAGCTCCAGTGGCTTCCTAATATCAGAAAAAAGAGCGTTCCAGACGGCCGCAGAAGCGCATCTGAAAGCTCGCGACGCAGTGGCCGCCTGCGAGCGGAGGTCAGGTCGACGCCGGGTGTCGAATTAAGTTGCCCTCCTTCGGGAATTGGAAATTGCTTTGTGTGTCGGCTCAACCGTAGGACCTCTTACGCACGCGCTTGTCGTTTCGAATCAACTTGTGTCGCGCAACGTTTTCAAGTCGACACGTTAAGGCCTTCCCTTGCCTCCCGGGGGAGGGAGGCGAAGGGGGGGGGGGAGGTGGAATTTAAATCAGTACCTTCAATCTACGTAACCTCTGCACATGGCAGTTATGTCTTAATGCTGATGTGGGTTTAAAGTGGCACAGTGGGGAGCGCATGACTAAGTCAACTTGGTCAACCTCTAACACCCGCTCTATTCCGCAGCCTTCTGTCAGTGAGCTTCCGGCACATCACGTGGCCACCAAGTGCACCTGGCCTGGCACAGATGCTGTGGTAGCAGAAATGCTGTGCTGGAATCACCACCACTTAGTGGCACTTGCAGTTGTTGATGGTGGTGGTGGTAGTAATGGGTGGGTCTAGTAGCAGGGGTGGTTGTAGTGACCATGGTGAAGGTAGATGCGGCGGTAGTCAGGATGGTGGCGCTAGTAGTGCTGATGTTGACGTAGGAGCAGTGGTAGAAGGGATGGTGGTGGTGGTGGTAATAGTGGCAATGGTGAAGGTAGTTGCAGGTGGTGGTAGGGATGGTGGTGGTAGTGGCAGTGGCGGTAGGAGCGGTGTAGGCGGTGGAGGTTTGTGACGATAGTGGTTTTTGTTGTGGTGGCCAATTTCCAGTCCGTTGCTGTGGGCTACGTTACTGGAACACGGTGGCCTAATTTGGCGAGAGTTGCTACCGGCTCCTTATCGTCATCATCGGTAAAGACGGCGCGCGCAGCGTTAATTATGCACAGAATGAAAAACCACGAGGCTGGTGCGGGAACGTAACAGTTGGATCGGCGCTCAGCCACCACCATCACCACCACGCAGGGGAAGGTGTGGTAGAGCAATTAAATGAAAGAGGCAAAAGTGCAGCCCTGCAATCACCTACTCATGCCACTGCTGGCAGAAGGGGGCATCCATGCACTATACTGCTGGGTACACAGAGGCGGTGGCGAATTTAAGATGCGTTCCCAATGTTTCAAGCTGCTGTGCCGGGAGGTTGAATCGGCGACCTCGAGATTGCAGGTTCATTGGAGCATGACAGGACCCAAAGAAAAGTGTAGGGCTGTGGATTCATTTAACCAGGTGAGACTTAATGTTTCATCAGAAAAAAGTCCTGCATCCCATGTGAAGTCCAATTAAACTAAACATTTTTTTCATCAGATAAAACTCACTGAGCTATTTAGATAGCTATTTTTCTTAAGCGACCCTGCCACGTTTCATAGCTCAATGAAGTGGCTTATCGCGTGGGCATTTATAGCAGCCAAATACACTCCGAACACATTCTTAGAAATGTGGGGGGAGAAACCGGAGGACCCAGAGAAAGATCCACATGACCACGGGGAGAACATGCAAACTCCAAATATACAGGCATTGTCAGGGTTGGGATCGAACCAACGACCTCTTGCATACCAGGCGAGGGAGTTAACAACTCGTCACCACTACTATAAAATTGAAGTAAAAAGTTGTTGTGCCGTGTACTGGCCTTAACTGGATACACGTGGGTGGAGCGGTGGCATTGTGGTTCACGCACTGAGTTCAATTCCCCGTTGTGTCAATACAGCCTTCTGCGGCGAGTACAATGTCGTTAAAAACAGCGGCGCTACGCCTCTCTAAATAAAACTAATCCCGAGCCGCTCGCGCGTTCCGAGATTCAGCTGTGAACGGGACCCAACCTGCAACTTGCACACGTCTCGTAAGTAGTAAAGCGTGAAAGAAAGTTTGATTGATCCATCGCTGGCGAAGGACACGGGGGACCGCCGCCCCACGATGGGGGTCGGGAGGGGGGTTACTCACCGGGGTAATACGCGAAGGGGGCCCCTGCCTCCCCCTCCTCCAGGCGGCCCGCAAGCGGCCTCGCCCTCCGCGCCCCTCCTCGGAAGAGAGCGTGCCCCCGCCGTCCCCCAAGGGCGCTCAGCTGCTTCATGCGCCGCTCCTTGGAGCGCCGGTTCTGGAACCAAACCTGGGGAGGCGGATCGCACGCGGGCACGTGCCAGGAAGAGCGTCAGGGCGAGCGTCAGGGCCAGGAGCAGTGGTGGAGGGCAGGCGGTGGGGGATGATGGGAAGGAGGAGGTGCCATCGTTGAAAGATGCTGACCGCTTTGCCAGGTAAGGCCCACCGAGCTGTATAGCTCTTTTCAGCAGCGACCGGGCCACAAATGATTGCCCGATTAAGTGGCTCATCACGTAGACATTTATGGCAGCCAAATACACTCTGAGTGAATGTTCTTAAATGTGGAGGGAAACTGTGCAGGACACGGAGAAAAAGTCCACGCGACCATGGAGAGAACGTGCAAACTCCAAATATACAGGCGTCTGGGTCGGGATCGAACCTATGACCTCCTGCATACCAGGCGAGGTAGTTAACATCTCGCCACCGCGACGCATTATGTATAGGCCTTTGCATCCAATGCTTGGTGAAGGCTTCCCCATGCCGCGTCGATCACGGGGGTTGTTGAACATGCTTCACCGCGCTGACCAGTGTGCGTTGATGAAGGGGAGGAGGCCCCGGGCTAGTTCAGGTATCGTTCGCCACAACTGATGCCAGCGGTGGCGAGGAATCAAATTCAAGACCGATTTTTTTTTAATTCAGGACGGTCAGGCGATTGGACGTTTAACCAATTCGATCATTGAGTATTGGAAAATAGGTAGGAAAGAGGCACCTGGATAGAAAAAAGACCCCACTCGTACGAAGGGATATACATTCAAATTTCCGCACAGATGGATTCAATCATCCATTGCTTTACTGTCAGGTTCTGTGGCCACCTCTCAGTCCAGGCGTGGTACCTCCACCCAATGTGGGGCAAAAGTGGCAAGTTGATCATCTATTAAAGGCTCATGGCTCACAGGATTGTGGCCTAGAAGACTTCTTATTTATTTATTTAACTATTTCTAGCCCTAGTCTCTACCCCCCCCCCCCCAATCTCTATAGTAATTATGAGATCCCTCCTTGCGATTGCGACACACAGAGTTAAGAACAAGATCTATATAACCAGGAAGGGCTCGTCAAGCCTTAATGACTCTATTTCAGGAGGGTCCTGCATTGGCATGTTTCACAAGTTCCACTTTAAGGGGCAGTGTTTTGACGTGTGGGATGAAACTGGGGTACCCAGAATAGGGCACAACGAAAATAATTGTACAGGCAAGTTGAGAACCCACTGGCTGTCCTGCCATCTCCTGGCAAACCTGGCATCCCGGCGGGGTTCGGGATGCCCACACACACACACGATTTTTTTCGATTTAAAGCTTTCGTGACTGCAGGGATTCATCTTCTTGGTTCTTTCGGTAAAGTCACGTAGAAGGAAAATAATAAAATAATAAAAATAAAACATTATAAAATACAATTCTCACGACGTTTCGGCCACAACGCAGGCAGCCGTCCTCAGGTGGAGAACAGGTCTGTCGACTCTGTCTTCTCGACAGACCTGTTCTCCACCTGAGGACGGCTGCTTGCGTTGTGGCCGAAACGTCGTGGGAATTGTATTTTATTATGTTTTATTTTTATTATTTTATTATTTCCATTCTACGTGACTTTACCGAAAGAACCACGAAGACACACACGATTCTCAATCCCTCGCCTCTGAAGCGCTGGTTTACAGATCACAGGTGTCCGAACACGCACGGGGCGTGACGCTCTCTCTCTCCGTCCACGCAGTCAGCCCTCGGTAGCCAAGCCAAACAACCCCGGCGCTGACCGGCGTGGTCAAGTACGGCCAAACAACCCCCATAATTCTAGATTTGAAGCTTTCGTGACTGCAAGGATTCATACTCTTAGTTCTTTCGGTAAAGTCACGTAGGTAAAAAATGAAATTAAAATTAATAAAAAATAATCACGACGTTTCGGAGGCAACACAAGCTTCCGTCTTCAGGTGAAACTGTCACAGCAAAAAATCTGCTGTGACAGTTTCACCTGAAGACGGAAGCTTGTATTGCCTCCGAAACGTCGTGATTTTATTGTTTTTATTTTTTATTTTTTAAAATTAATTTTAATTTAATTTTTTACCTACGTGACTTTACCGAAAGAACTAAGAGTATGAAACAACCCCCATGTCCGGCACAGCGGAGTGGGAGCGGGGGCGGGGGGGGGGGAGGGGCAATGCCCTCACCCAGCAGCCAATGGACAACAAGAAGAGGAGGAGGCGGGTGATCACCTGTATGACGCGCATGTTGAGCCCCGTCTCCTGGGCCAGCTGCTCGCGCACGTGCCTGCTGGGCTTGGGCGTGGCCGCGAAAGCTGCGCGCAGCGTCTCCAGCTGCTTGGCCTTGATGGTGGTGCGGGGCCCCCGGCGCTTGCCGCCGGCACCGCCCGCCGCCTCCTCGGCCTCGCCCTCCTTGTCCGAGCCGCCGGGCCCCGCCGCGTCCTTGGACAGCTCGCCGTCTTCGCCGCCGTCGGGGCTACGCGCGGCGCCCTCCGGGGAGGTCGGGCTCCCGTCGCTGCGCGCCGTCGCGGCCACTGCGGGGAAAGTTGTGGGGGGGAGGGTTGGGGGTTGGTTAGTGATCGGTGCCAGGTTGGCACAGAGTGGTTGGTAGATGAATAACACTGGTCAACACACTTTTTTTGGCATGAGGTATTCCAACCGTTTTAATGTAATTTTGGGGTGCTGATTCCAAATCTGGCATCAGGTTTTTGAGATATCAAATATTGCATTTTCAATAAAAACTGTAGAAGAAAAATATAAAATAAATGTGGATATCTAAATAAAATGATATTATAAACACACTATTCTAAAAAACAGCACCGTATTTTAACACGAAAGCAGTCACTGACTCGCAACAACTTGCAATCATAAGTGACAGAGTTAATTTCGGGTAAAATCAATGAAAATGGGGTATGTGGGGTAAATGGGTAAATCCAGCAAGGGTTTTGCCACCAAGTACTAAGTCATGTTTTGCAGAGGGGTCAAATACTTATTTCCCTTATTAAAATGCAAATCAATTTATAACATTTTTGACATGCGTTTTTCTGGATTTGTTTGTTGTTATTCTGTCTCTCACTGTTCAAATAAACCTACCATTAAAATTATAGACTGATCATTTCTTTGTCAGTGGGCAAACGTACAAAATCAGCAGGGGATCAAATACTTTTTTCCCTCACTGTAAATCCGTTACTCCATTTTGCTCGGCGGACGTACACGCACGAAGAACATGGGCGCCGTTTCAGCGGGCGTTCTGGTGATGTGCGCGTCAAGGCCTAGAAGAATGAACTGGCAAGCTCTCTCTCTCTATGTCTCTGTCGTGGCGTTGCGTTTGTGGAACATGCAGCCCTCTAACCCAGGGGTCTCCAAACCCCAGGCTGCTGACCGGTACGGGTCCGTGGCCTGTTAGGAACCGGGCCGCACAGGAGCAGGAGGTGAGAGCGGTGAGTCCACGTGTGACCCGCGTCCATTATTTTATTATTTACCACTTCCGTCCGCGCCTCTTTCCCGCACTGCGCACTCGTCTCAGTCACAGTTGTGGTAAGCCCACAAGCTGCTAACCCCCAAGGAGCCAAAATGAGTAAAAAACAAACGTCGCTGGAGAGCTTCTTTGAAAAGGTGGAAAGACCCAATGATGACTCCCCCCCCCTCCCGGTCCGTGAAAAAATTGTCTTCCACGAAACCACTCCCTGGTGCCAAGAAGGTTGTGGACCGCTGCGTCTAACCGACGTGTTAATAATATTACATTCATAATCATAATAATAATAACAGCCATTTTCGATCCACTGCACGATGAAGGCCTACCGACGCCATTGCCGTTCGCATGGGTTGTTTGACCGAAATTCGCCAAGCTGGTCGGCGAAGTTTGGTGAGCAAGGAGGGGCGAGCTGGTGCACAGGACCGCTTCAGATACCACTTGCCACCGATGTTGGCCATGACCAGGAATCGAACTTAGGCGTTGTCAGGTTCGTAACACAGCGTGCTAACAGCTGCGTCATAATACTCCACATCTGTCGTGTGCTTTGACGTGTGCATTGCCACCGTTTGAAGTGCGTCTCGAACACAATTACTGTTTGCTAAATCCCACCCAAATTATTTCTCACGTGTTATGTGCAGTTGGCAAGCTCCTAATGTATGTATGTTGAACTTCTTTCGCACCGTACGTAGCCAACCGTGCTAATCGGAGGTGCGGGGCAGAGGCAACAAACTAAACACAAAAAAGCAGTTCTATTGAAATTATACTCTTTGGTTCTTGAGAGAGTAGCTTCAGGTGAGAGAGTAGTTTTCTCTCTCACCTGAAGACGGTCCCCTGTAATGCGATCGAAACGTCGTGATCTATTAATTTTCTACCTACGTGACTTTACCGAAAAGAGTATGGAAATCATGCAGTCGCGAAAGCTTCAAATCTATAGAAATTAGTTTTTTCAATGTAGGTATTAAAAGGCGTGTTTCCTGAGCGGTGGAGTGTTGGGCGACACTTCTCTGGCCAACAACATAAACATCGCGTCGAGTAACACGAAGCCGACTTGCGCAACGGACGAAGCGAGTACAGAGAAACAATTATAACGGGATTTGTTTTTGCCGCAAACTCGCGTTCGCACACCTATCGATTCACGACGACGAGAAGGCCTTTTTAAATCCTTTATATTAAGTTCACTTGCTTGCTTGCTTAGGACCGTGCAAATCTTTCGGTCGTTTTTTAACCCACTTCCCGTGATCCAATCGAGCTGACATTTTGCACACAGACTCGTTGTGCGTGACAATTTTTTTTCGTGAAAATGTTTTCCATAACTTTACACTTAGGAATTGTTTTTATATTTAATTACCAATTGCTTAATGGTGGCAGGCAATCATCTGACCCATAGGTGGCAGCCATCTCAAGCCAGAGGACGAGAGGACTCTAGCCGCCACGCATATGAAGGATTTATAGTGAAAAACTTTGTTTTTACGGGTTAATTTTTTTTGCCTCCCCGTGCCCACACGAAGTGGCGTGTGCATTCTAGATTTGAAGCTTTCGTGACTGCAAGGATTCATACTCTTAGTTTTTTCGGTAAAGTCACGTAGGTAAAAAAAAAAGAAATTAAAATTAATAAAAATAAAAGTATAGTATCAAGTGAGGCCTCACTTGATGCAGCAAATCTGGCTGTGACAGTCCCACCTGATGACGGAGACTTGTGTTGCCTCCGAAACGTCGTGCTTTTTATTTATTTTTATTTTATTTTTTTACCTACGTGACTTTACCGAAAAAACTAAGAGTATGGCGTGTGCAGTCTGCAATCACCGCTCCTGGTTTTTTTGCGGGTATTGACGCGAAGTCAGTGGGGGGGACGACTCGTGGCCCCAACGCAGTTAAATTGCCGCTTGCGACCGCGCAAAACCCGTTGATGTGTGCCCGCGTGCAGCCACGCGTTTCAATCAATTGTAATCATCATGGGCGCAACGATTGGGTGGGGATGTGTGTGGCGGCGTCATGCGACGCACTCGGAGGCCCAGTCGGCCACAAGTGGAGGGTGGGGCCTCCCGAATCAACAGATAAACAAGTAGGCAAATTTCGATTTAAAGCTTTCGTGACTGCAGGGATTCATCTTCTTGGTTCTTTCGGTAAAGTCACGTAGAAGGGAAATAATAAAATAAATAAAACATAATAAAATAATTCTCACGACGTTTCGGCCACAACGCAAGCAGCCGTCCTCAGGTGAAGAACAGGTCTGTCGGAAAGACAGACGCTGTCAAACGCTGTCTTTCCGACAGACCTGTTCTTCACCTGAAGAACAGGTCTGTCGTGAGAATGATTTTATTATGTTTTATTTTAATTATTTTATTGTTTCCTTTCTACGTGACTTTACCGAAAGAACCAAGAAGAAGTAGGCAAATGTTAAGATACATTATTCAACAAAAATGCCTGCAGGTCTACCATGGACCAAGGCCGATGAAACGCATCTGGCGATCTTATCAACGGAACATAACGCTGCGCCATCCAACCTCTTTGAGTAAAATCCTAGACCGATGGGTCAGCATGACAGTAACTTCATTGTGAGTATTTTACCTTTCAATATTTGTCTGTATCAATACTGTCACTGTTAGACTGTCTTCCTCTAAGCCCAATACACGGCGTAACTAAAATAACCCAGTTATAGTCGACATATTATTGTATACGGGTTAGGGGCCGTCCATAAATGAGGTCACGCGATTTTGACGATTTTGACCCGCCCCCCCCCTTCGTCACGCGGCGTCACAAAAAGTGAGACCCCTCCCTCAAATATGACATCACAAAGCTCTGCCCCCCCCCCCTCCCAAATAAAACATGCTTCAAATCGCTTTAAACTACTGTCATTGTAGTGCATATTGAATGTGCCGCTGCACTCTGATGTTGTCGAAGAAACCATTTAATAGAAAGTCTATTTAATTAAGTAGAACGTGTTGCCTATATTTATTTAAAGTTGCGCATTTTGATGTGACGTCATATTTCTCAACTCCCCCCCCCCCCCCCCCCTTGTCACACATCGTCACAAATTTAACACGTAGGCTTTCGCGACCAATATTATTCATAATCAACGTTTTTGGGTTTAGATCGCTGATCTATATATATAAAATCGTGCATGTCTGTCTGTCTGTGTATGTGTGTGTGGATTTCGGACCATACGCACTTTCATTGGACGGCGGTTGCCCCTGGCAACGGCTAGCAACGCCTTCGCCGCTTTCATTGGACGGCGGTTGCCCCTGGCAACGAGTAGCAACTTTTCGCCGCGGGGTGGACGCCATTTTTAATAGCGCCGGGGGGGGGGGGGGGGGGGGACCGGCACCCGTACCCAGCGTTCGCCGGGTGGGAAAATCAGGCAAGGCGGGAGGCTCTGCACGGTGCTAGGCCTCGACACCCAACACGCCACTCTGAGGTAAATTCATACAAATTTCACGTCCTCTACAGAGTGGCGAGGGAGGCAGAGTGGCGAGGGAGGGAGAGTGGCGAGGGAGGGACTCAGCCTCAAAACGAGTAACTGGTGTGGCGTATTAACATCGCCACTGGGGAGACAAAGGCGGCCGGGCGTGGTGGATACAAGTCCCGGGCAAAGCCGGATCATGACTATGTGTGTATGTGTTTATGTGTATGTCTGTGTGTCTGTATGTATGTGTGTATGTATGTGTCTGTATGTTTTGTGTGTATGTATGTGTGTGTATGTATGTGCGTTTTTTTGTATGTGTTTATGTGTATGTCTGCGTGTCTGTATGTATGTGTCTATGTATGTGTCTGTATGTTTTGTGTGTATGCATGTGTGTGTATGTATGTGCGTTTTTTTGTATGTGTTTATGTGTATGTCTGCGTGTCTGTATGTATGTGTGTATGTACGTGTGTGGATGTGTTTGTGTGTATGTATGTGTGTGTCTATGTATGTGTGTTTATGTGTTTCTGTGTATGTATGTGTGTGTATGTATGTGTCTTATGTGTCTGTCTGTGTGTATGCATGTATGTGTGTGTGTATTGTGTATGTGTTTGTGTGTTTGTATGTGTGTGATTGTGTGTATGTGTATGTCTGTGTGT